AATGGGTGAAGTGGACAGTGGTGATAAGGTGAATTAGTAGGGTAGACACAGGTTATGGAAGTCCCTGGATGCCACCTTGAATATACATGTAAACCATAAGGAACACTTAGGGATTTTTGAACCTGCGTGGGATGAGGGGGAAAGTGGGTGGAGAGGAGGTTTGAAAAATCATTAACAGTCAAAATAGCGGTGTAGGGAAAGGTATGTAAATAAACAGGTGTGGTGAGTAGCTGAAGTCGAGAGATCAGTTAGGAGTACCTTTCTATGTTTGGGCTGATAATTGCGAAAAAAAGTTTCAGTAGGATCGGGACTCAGTGGATAAATGTTGCTGTGTGCTGTTGAGTCGATTCTGACTCACAGCAACCGCATGTGCCAGAGTAGAACTGCCCCATAGGATTTTCTAGGTTGTAAACTTTATGGAAGCAGATCACTATTCTTTCTCTTGCAGAGCTGCTGGTTGGGTTCGAACCTCCAACCTTTTGGTTAGCAGCCAAGCACTTAATTATTGAGCCACCAGGGCACCTCAATGGATAAATAATGAAGGAGAAAAAAAAAAAAGGGTTAAAGGTCATTCTAAAGTCTGGAAGAGAGAAGAGATGATGGGAGCAATGATGTTGGGAGGGGACACTGATTAAGGAATCAAAATAGGTTAAAAGGAAAGCAATATGTACACATTTCTGTCACTCCTACTCTATTTTATTTTGCTTTTTATTGTGCTTTAGGTGAAAGTTTACAGGGTTTCTCATTAAACAATACACAAATTGTTTTGTGACTTTGGCTGCCAACCCCTCAATGTGTCAACACTCTCTCTTTCTCCACCCCAGTTTCCCTGTTTCCATTCGTCCAGTTTTCCTGTCTTCTCATCTTTGCTTTTGGGCTGGTGTGCCCATTTAGTCTCATATACATGATTGAACTATGAAGCACGTAACTCACGTGTTATTGTCTGTTATATAGGCCTATCTATTCTTTGGCTGAAGGGTGAGCTTCGGGAGTGACTTCAATACTGAGTTAAAAGGGTGTACGGGGGCCATACTCTTGGAGTTTCTCCAGTCTCTGTCAGACTAGTAAATCTAGTCCTTTTTTTTTTTTGTGAGTTTTAAATTTGTTTTATACTTTTCTCCCACTCTGTCCAGGACTCTCTATTGTGATCCCTGTCAGAGAAGTTGGTGGTGGTAGCCAGGCACCATCTAGTTCTGGATTCCATCTGGTGGAGGCTGTGATAGTTGTGGTCCATTAGCCTTTTAGACTAATCTTTCCCTTGTGTCTTTGGTTTTCTTCATTCTTTGTTCCAGATGGGGTGGGACCAGTAGATGTATCTTAGATGGCTGCTCGCAGGCTTTTAAGACCCCAGAGAAAGCAACATTTTTTAATATTGCTTTTATGAAAGATATACAGGATTCTAGTAAAAAAAAAAAAAAAAAATCAAACAATGGAAATACATCAAGCAGAAAAATGAAGTTTCCTTCTTCATCCCTCAATTCCACTCCCTCTTGGAGTAACCACTGTGATAATTTGTTGCATAGATTTTCAGACTTATTTCTACATATATACCAATTAAAGGAGTACCGGTTAAAGATCTTCTTCCATAAAGATTTCAGCCTGGGAAACCCTATGGGGCAGTTCTACCCTGTCCTATAGGTGGCTATGAGTCAGAATTGACTCAACAGCACACAGTAACAACATATACCAACTTAAAATAAGTGGAAATTGAATCCCAGTACATTAGGCTGCACTCTGTAGAAAAGGAAAACCATTGAAGTGTATATATAAATATATAAAGAGAGATTTATTTCAAGGAAATGGCTCCTGCCATTGTGGATGCTGGCAAGTTCCAAATCTTTGGCCCAGGTGTCAAGCTGGAGGCTTCTCCTGACTGTGGTATGCAGGGGCTGATGAACCCAAAATATGCAGGTCAGACAGCAGGCTGCTGGTTCACAGGGTTTTGGGAGCTGGCAAATCTAAAATCTGCAGGCCATGCATCAGGCCAAAGGCTTCTCACATCCCAAGAACCAGAGGTCAGAGGATGACGAGATGAATGCAGAATCGAGAGAGCACAAGCTTTGCCAGAACATCCATATATATTGGATGCAGGCCACACCCCCAAAGAAACTCCCCTTCCAACTGATTGGCTGCTCACATCAGATCACGAAATAGAGGATGACTGCATAATATCTGCCAAACTACTGAGAATCATGGTCTAGCCAAGCTGACACATAACATTAACCACCACACCTAGTATACATGTTCTTTTCAACTTTTTTTTTCTGTATGGGTTCATATAGAGCTATCTTTTCATGGCCTATAATTTAAATCAGAACACTGTAAACATAGCCAACAAATTTCTTCACAATATCACCCACTATATATATATATATATATATATATATACATATATATATATATACATATATATACATATATATAAAAAAAGCAATTAAAGGTTAAAGAAGTAACAGAGGTATAGGTTAATACTGAAATTCCATTGATTGTAATAGAAGTAGGTGTTTTGAAATAATATGCTTTCTTACCACGGCAGTTTGATTTTGTTTTGACAGTTGTAATGATGAAGTTTTCTTTTTTTTTTGCAGTGGTGGTCTCGTCTCTGAAACTGCTTGTTCTATATGTAAATGAGTTCCTTGGCTTACCCCTTGGAAAGTAATTTTGATGGATAGTAATAAAACTATTACATAATGGTGATTCCTCTGAAGTGACTTTTAAGCATACTGAATTCTTATTGATTTTTATTTTATATAATGGCATTTCTATCTTATACATTAGCACTTTTTGTTATTCTAAGACTTTGCATATTTCTTGCCTTCTGGCAAAAGCAACTTGGAATACATAAAGCAACTTACAGAAATTAACTCTGATAAAAGATCCTCTGTGAAAGAATATTTACTGCTGGTCTTCTTTAGAGTGCAAAAAGCCAATTCTTATTTGCATATCAATGAATGGGAATGGACACTTACATTCTAAAAAAATTCCCAAATTCTGAGAAAAAAAAAGTTGAGAATAAACTGTTTTCTCTTTTTAAATACAAATTTTTAATCTTACCAATTTCAGAGATTTGAATTTAACATAACTCTAAAGGTTAATGAAAGTATTATTTTACAGGTTATCATCACGAGAAACAGATTTTGGATAATTATTCCAAACTCAGAAATTCAGTGGGCATAGAAATGAGTATATTCACGGCCTAGCTTCATGAATCACATGACTTTTTCTCTTCAAAGTCCAAATGAAAACCTCCCTGGTCCGACAGTAAACTGTGAAAATTATTGGCAGATGTAGGAACACAGGCTCATTTGTTTTTATGAAACCCTAATTCAAGTTTAAAGTAATTACTAGATATTTATACAAAACAGAATTCCCTGTTGCTCCTCAGTTTTGCCAATTTCTTAAGAGCAGTTGTTTGTGATAATTAAATATTATATATATTTATTGTTGTATGTATTATTGTTGGCAAACAGCCAACCACCTTTTCCTTAATCTTTTACTAACACAGAAGACTAAACATTTACCTAACTCTGTAGCTAAAAGGGGTTTTTCCTCCAAGTGCCAATTCAGTGTGCCCATTGTTTCTTTGGGACTCGATGTAATTAACACGTATGGGAAAACTTCCTGTATACATAATACATCCCCCTCCCTTTATTTACTTTTATTTTTTACCAATACTAGTCTGTTTTCCTTTGTGTCTATTCTCATTTGAAAGTTTTTAGTTTCTTTTTTTGTCTCTTTTGGTTTCTCTACTTCTTCCATTGATGTCTTTATTCTTTTTGAAACTCTCTTTGAAAGAAAAATGGAATAAAAATTAAAAACCATGAATTTTGTTGCTGCTCCTTGCTTTGTTTTTTTCTTTTGGGTGGGGGCTTTAAAAGGTAACATTATTATGAGAGGAGGTTGAAGGACATTCTACCTTTCCCAATTAGAATAAATGGCTATGACACAAGGCAGTCAAAGGTGGAAATAATCAGCATTCTTCAATACACAAGATTAATCAGTTCTGTTTAGTGGTTATTAAAGGGAGGGAAAAAAAAACAAAAACAAAAACAAATGGGAACAGTCAATTTTGGTTCTTTCATGTTTTATACCAAATGCTGGTACACTGTATTCCTTCCACACTCTACTGCATATTGCCTAGAGAAAGAGTTGCAGATCATCAAATAATCATCCATTTGCAAATGGTCTAATGACAGCATATACAAAAGCGGTTCATTAAAAACCTTCCATTTATAGTTACACTGCATCAAATGGTGCTAATTTTTAAGTAGGCCACCCCACAGTGAACCCTCCAAACAACACCCTTCCACCGTTTGTACCAAATCCATTTCTTTTTCACTCACAGGAAATATTCAATGTTTCAGAATTATGTTCGCGCAACGACGTGTGAATACTGCTCACCTGGAACTCATCGGTCTGAGACCCAGGGGATGCCAAATTTCTGTCATTTTCTTATTCTCCCAGGGCAGTACCCTTCATAAAATCTACAAAGGCCTACTTCTAATACTTCTGAAATCTTCATATGTGACATGATTTACGGTGGGGTGGCTCTTCACATTTTGAAAGCCCCCTCATTTGTCCGCAGCGACTTCTAAAAACACCGCTGGCGCTGGCTGGATATCTGATCTTGGGGCCAAGTGTTTCTAGACTTTGTTCTCTGGGCCTTAAAAAGGTGAGGTGCCAGGGGCTGAAGGCGACACCACTGTGGATTTCACGGTGGGGAGCCCGGCGAGGGGAGGGTGAGGCCAGGCTGCTGGCGGTGCCCCACCGGTCCTCCAGCCCCCCCCCGCCTCCTTGTTTGGCAGGTGGGGGCCCCTCCCTCCAGCTGGCGATAGACCGAGGGGCTGCGGCAGGCTGCACGCTCGGCGAACACCGCTCCCCGGCGGCAGTTGGGCTCCGCGGGGAAGAAAAGCGGCGGCAGGGAGCGCGCGGGGAACCCCCACCGGCCGCAGCGCTCGGTCCCGCGCGAGCGCGCTCGGTTGGTGCGCGAACGCGTCTCCGCCCCGCCCGCTTGGCGCGCGCCCCCGCCAGGTCCGCTCTCCTCCCCCACCCCGGGCGTGGACGGGGTGGATCCCGCTCACTCCCCTCCCCCGAGCGGCGGCGGCGGCGGCAGCTGCCGGCGCTGAATGAGACGCCGACTGCTCGGGTCGGCGAGTGCTAGCCTTGGCGGCGGCGGTGGCAAAGCGGCAAAGCGTGGGGTCAGCGTCGTCTTTCCATCTTTTAAGGCGGTGGCTGCGGCTGCACAGGTCGGTTCTCCTGCCGCTGATCTGGTGCGGAGTCTCGGTAGGCGGTGCGGGGGAGAGAAGGTGGGTGCGCTGCGCCCCCGGGGCGGCGCGGAGCCGCAGCGGCGGCGCGGGGAATGGCGGCGGCTCCTGCGTTGCGGTGTGTTGATCTCCTGGCCGCGGGCTCCGGGGCTGCTTGCCCTCCGTGCGGGGAGGTGGCTGCAGAGCTCGGGCTGAGGGAGGAGGGCGCTGGGGACCGCGCCTCCCTCGGCGGCTTGACTTCGGAGTCGGGAGGAAACCGTGGGGTCCCTGCTCGGGGGCTCGGTCCCGAGGCTAGGGTCGCGGCGACCCCCGAGTACGCCTCGCTTCGCTCTCCCTCCTGGGTGGCGGTAGCTCCCGGCCTCCACCCGCGCTGCCCCTGTTGCCTGGCGGCGCCTCAGCCTCCTTCAGGTGAGTCCAAGCTGGGTACCCCGAGCTAGGACCCGCTGAGCCGGGCCACACCCCCTCCCCTGGCCTTCGCGGCGGCTCCCCAGAAGCCTGACCGCCGAGCCGGCTGCCTGCGAATCCGCGGACTCGCGGTCATGGTGACCTGTTGCGGAGCAGCCCGCAGCCCGTGTCGCCAGCCAGCCTCGGACCCGGAGGGGCTGCGTCCTGCGCTGGCTGCGGGGGTGCCGGGCGGCAGGCGCTGCCCGAGGTCGGGTTTCTTTACAGCTAGCTAGGAGACGGGCGCTTTGGGAAAAAAAAAAAAAAGGATTCCCAAGGTATCTGATCAAACACTTGCAAAGCTAGAATATCTGTCTGCAAATATCCGGAATTCCATTGCAGTATCGGATTAGTTAGACTCATAAACACCATGCTTTGGAGGTGATTTGAGAGAAACGCGAGCCACGAGTGAACAGCTAATATCTGGAAAATAGCCGTAACCCAGTGCGGAGCTAAATTATCCCCCAGCTACCCCCCTCGGAGCTCTTTTTCCTGTCGCTGTGTGTTATGTAGACGCAAGCCAGTTTCAGTGTACGTGGGCGTGTTTGGGAAGAAGCTGCGAGCTGATAGGAGGTACCTTAGTACAAATGTTAATTTGTTTGAGCTGGGAGGGGTGAGGGAGGAGTAAGAAAGGGCACTGATGTTAGCTGTGGAGGAGGGGCAGTCGAAACCTTAAATATCTGTTTAAGAAACCGGTAAAAAAGACATATCTAATGTTCAGTGTTTAAGGCTATGAAGTGGAACACACAGACAGGCATTGAGTTTTATCTTTTATGTGCCCTGGGTTGTTTCTTCTTTTTTTACCCCCCAACGCTATCGTTACTGTAGAGCCTTGTTTTCCTTACCGGTGTATGTGAGTTACTTTGGTGTTTTTCTATATTCATCATCAGATCGACTCTTTTTCAAGTCTCTTTGAAGATGACCATCAGAATTTTGGGAAACTTCAATCCGTGCACGCAGAGTGTTGCAGTCACACAGATCATAAGCTTCCTTTGAAGCCTGTTCCACCCAGATAATTATACAAGTGCTGTAGAATCACACGTTACTGTTAATACTGAATATCTTGCTGTAGACTTTAGAATTATGAAGGAACTTATACTCAAACAGTATTATTTCAATAAAAATAACCTCTAACTTAAGCTTTGTAGGCATCAAGTTTATAACCTAGCTTCAAAGATTTGGAAAGAAACTTACTAGCTGAATAAAGATCAAATGTAAGGGCAATAGATGCCATTTTGAATAAATAATTTCAATGTAATTTTATTTTAAACTTAGTTTATTTTCTCTTTTTAAAAAATCATAATTTCACAATGGTAAGATCTGCCTTTTTTTTTTTCATTCCATCTTTTCATTGAATTAAAGAATTTGACTTCTCAAAATACTTTGGGTGGGACTCTGGAAATATTGTTCACTTTGCCTAAATCATTCTCCATCACAACAGAACTTTAAAGACAGTGCTTGCATTTTCACAATGGCAACATGCTTTTCTGATACATGTTTTTAATGCCAGAAAGAACACATCAACATTTCCTGAAAGAAGGAAAGTTTACTAAAAAACTAGCTTTGTGAGTCAGATGCTCTTAGTACACGTGAGTGATGTATGCTATGCGTAAATTCTTAGTACGTGTCTATTTCAGTTTATTGTGCCATTACAGTTAAGACAGTAGCTGTGTGTAGTGAATGATGGACATATAGGTGATTTTGTTATCTTGCAACTTAAAACACTTCAGCATTTTCCCAGAGACCCAGTGCATTCATTCCTTTGTTCATTCGTTCTCCACGTACTTACTGAGCATCTACTTGGTGCCAGTTAGTCACCTAGATGTTGTGGTACGACAGGGAAAAAAGACAAGTCTGTGCCCTGATGGAGCTTAAAGGGTAAGTGGACAAATAACCTACTACTTCACTGTCAGATGACAGTATCTGTTTAATGTTAGTTTAAAAGTTTAAGAAGTAAAAACTCTTCTGATGGCTTTTTTGGTTAAGGATATTGTTTTTTTCCTTCTAAGAATAGTTGGAATTTTTACCTAGAGAACAAAAGCATTAAGACCGTTGTTTTGAAAATCTGTGTGTATTTATATACATTGGGTATCTGGTTCCCAGGTATGCCAGAAATAAACATGGTTACCTGAAGTCAGATGATGCATAGTTTACATGTGGTTAAACAGCTTTATTCTTTTGGTTTATATAGTTAAATGTTTGCAAAATATATCCTCTCTTGGCACTTACTTGTTTATCAGTCTACATTTTTTTTTTATTATCTTTTTTTCTGTATGACTGTAAACCAGTGCCCTACTGTTCTTTAATATACTCTGATGAGCATTATTGTTAAAATCAGAAAAGTTCAACTAAAAGTGATAGTTTTCTTTCTTCGTTAAAATATGACAAACATTGGTATTGGTTCTTTGCAGATTACAAAGCTCTTTTTATATATTATTGGTACTTAAATATTTTACTAGTTCTCATTGACAGGATTGTCAGTAATTAACATTGACTCTGTTAGGTAGGCATTATTATCTCCATTTTAGATGGGGAAACAGATTGAAGATGTTAAGCACACCATCAAACAGGCAGTGAACCCAAACCCAAGTCTAGCTCATAACTACAATCAATGCATTGCTCCACCTTAGGAGAGCAGGGCCCACTTGGGAGAGTTTCGACATTTGGTTCTGTAGTTCAGCATTATAGTTGCACCTACTGGTCTGCTTTTCCTGAAATTTCTAAATAGCTTTTAAACTTTAAACAAAACTGTTTATTGAAATGTAACTAGTTTTCTTTTTGTCAGATAAATTTAAACTTATTATTTTTTCTGAGAGTATTGCTTTTTTTATTGCATAAAACATACACAGCTTGTTTTGTCAGATAAAATTTAAACTTATTAT